AAGAAATCTGACTCCTGGGAGGAATGTTCACCTATACTACCACTACTTTTGAGTTTCAGGCCCTGGACCCTTGAAAGCTTTGAGGCATACAGTTGTCCAAGTTTTATCAGCACTGACAAACATTAAGCTTGTAACATTAAAACACAACTGAAAACACTACTGTCCAACAAGTTCAAGTGCTAACTACCAAATGACTGGTCTCTTACTGTGAATGGGCAAGATGCATCTGAGTAAAGTAACTCTGGACTCTGCTCGAGTTAAATCCTATTTCTTAACCACAGTCCCATTTCAAACTCTTCCAGCAATCTTACCTAGTCTCACAGGAAGTGTACCTTTAAATCTGAGCAGTTTAAACTTCTTGCTTCCAAGCAACTTGAATTCCTGCTAAGTCAGTTCAACAATTTCTGGTGACAAGAGAAGAAAAGTTAAGTTTTGCCCAGTGTTATCACAGACTGGTTGAGGTTGGAAGGCATCTGTGAAGATAGTCTTGTTCAACCCCCCTGCTCAAGCAGGTCCACCTAGAGCAGGTTGCCCATGACCATGTCCAGATGGCTTGAGTATCTCCAATGTGCGAGACCCCACAACCTCCCAGGGCAACCTGTGTCAGTGCTCAGTATCCTCACAGTAAAAAAAAAAGGGTTTCCTGATGTTCAGAGGGACCCTCCTGTGTTTCAGTTTGTGCCCATTGCCTCTTGTCCTGTCACCGGGCACCACTGAGAAGGGTCTGCCTCTGTCATCTCTGCACCCTCCCTTCAAGTATTTATATATATTGATAAGATCCCCCTAAGCCTCCTCTTCTCCAGGCTGAATAGTCCCAACTACCTCAGCCTATCCTCATAATGGGAGATCCTCCAGTCTCTTCGTCATGTTCATGACCCTTCACTGGACTCTCTCCAGTGCATCCGTGCCTTTCTTGTTCTGGGGAGCCCAGCACTGGACACCTGCTCCAGGTGCAGCCTCACCAGTGCCAAGCAGAGGGAAAGGATCACCTCTTTTGACCTGCCAGCAACACTCCTCCTAGTGCAGCCTTCTTTGCAGCAAGGGCAACATCTGGGAAGCTACGCAAGTAACTACACTGAAGTTGCAAGATACAAGAGAGCTGAAATGCAAGAACTTAGGGTTCTAAGTTTCCCTTAGAACCCTAACTCAGCACAAATGGAGAGACTGATCCATGCTATGTGACAAAGTCACACCTATCCACCAGTTATCTGGGTAAGCATTACAACAGGCAAATTAAAAGCCAAGAGTATGATCAGAAACCAGCTCCATAATTTTGAAAACCATACTGTAAAGATCAGGTTCATTTAGGTTGCTGGGTACTTGGGAATTCCCACCCAGTAAGTCTTAGTAAAGCAATTCTGGAACACCTGTAAGAGCAAAATCACAGAAAATTCACACTGCACTGGGCATGGAAGAGTTTGAACAGCATGAGCTAAACTCTTGAATGAATGAGACTGAAGTTACTCACTGCCACTCACCAGGCAGGGTCTTCCAACACACTTAATATAAGCTCCATGGTTCATTAGTTATAAAACACAATGGGGAGAAGTGGGATGGGACAGAGCAAGTTAGCCTGACCTTTACTGAAGTACTTCAGTTTAGTATTAACTCTTGCACATCCACTTGCTAAATTCAAGAGAAAGTGGGATTTTCCAAAGTGGCTGAGAATATTTATCATCATGTTAAAACACTTCATTCTCCTGTTTAAGGCAACAGGGATTCTTATTTATGCAGACTTTGAGATGACATATTTAATTTAAGCCTACATATTCTGTTTAAGCTTTGGAGTTTAAATTAACCACCTAGGTGTGTTTAAGACTGTATTTTGAGATGATTTATTTTACAATATGTATTCTTTAAGGAATACTTACTGCAGAATTACTAATATAAGCAAGTTGGCTATTCTACTGAGACACTCAGTGTTGTTCTCCCAATTCTTCAGAACCTGTTTTAACAAGTCCAGGAGGGATAAACATTTAGAAAGACAGAGCAAAAACCCAAGATACTAGTCACCTCTACTGTTGTAGCCAAGATCACTTTATCAAGTTGCTTACAGAGGGAGAGAAACTTCCTTATTTATTCAGTGGAAACAAAACTGCTCCAATAGCCCCCACACTCAGGCCTTCGCTATCTTACCTAGCAGAGGGCAAGGGCAGACTCCCAAGTCAGATACTCCAGGTGCCCTCTGGAGCAGCCTACCATCCTCCAGAGCACAAGACGCCACGACCCCTACCTTTACCACTGAACTGGGATGACTAAGTAACACTGACGTTATTTTTCCACAGTCTTTCCACCAAGAAGTGGCACTATAGATTAAAAAGAAGTCAGTGCATACCCCTTCACCTTTCTGCTTGCAGGTTAGGGCGAAAAACATGTTTGTGTACTACACATTAATTGCAACATAACTTCTAGCCCATGCAAGTTGCTGACAATGTTGCCTACCAGATGCCTCAGGAGGAGGAAACTGTGTAGGATAAGCTGTTTCCTAGAAGGACTGTTTCTAGTCTTCCCCAATTTCCCCATCAGTGGAAAGTATAATTTTTTTATAGCTGTGTTCTAGTTATCTGCTCACAAATTTTAAATTCAAACAGTTTGCTCCCAATAGCATCCCCCTTTAAAGGGTGGCACAACTTAGGAAATACTCTAAGAAATCTACACTACAAATACTAAATTGCTGCTTTGGAAGGGAGGTAAGCTTCATGCTGAATAACTTGTTACTCACTTTAAGCTACCTAACCCAACAGCTCTTCTTACTAGCAACACATTTATTCTTTGATAAGGCTAATCAAAGAGTTACTAGAGAGCTGAAATAGCCCCAAAGTCTCTAATGACACAGTTCTAACCAGACTGAAAACAAGATTTCCATCCTAAAAGATTCAAGTTGCCTTTGCAGAATTTATAGCTGTTCAAGATGGGAATGCTTCTTCTAAGTATCAGCTCTCACTTAAGTTGAGGTCTGCTTTCTGACAAGACATCCCTGTTACTTCTGAGGGAAATATTCTGAATTTCTATGAAGTCACCTGTAAGAATTTTTTTGCTGCCTTCAATTCCTTCATGAAATGAGCACCAAAGGAACTCAGACAAGATTGTTTTCTCACAGGTTAGATCTGTACATGTTTTGTGCTATATGCAGGAGAGTTTGTGCATTCATTCATATGAACTCTTCTGCAATGAGTGAAAAATGATCAGCAATATAAAGACACCTAATCTCAAGGAGCATACTTTAAGAGGAAGATGGGGCAATAGATGGGCTAAGTAGCACAGAATGACCACACTGGTCCCATGGCTTACTCTAGCTAAGCCACAAGGATGCAGTTTGAAGAGGGTAAGAAAAAGGAGTTCAAGGCAGAAAACAGAAGGAGATGGAGATGTTAAGAGCATACTGCAACTGTATTTGGGTTGCAAAATTAATGTTACAATATATTTTGTGAGTGATTAAAGCAGACAGCCATTAATAGGCAGCGCACTGATGCCCTTAACTAGCTTCTTAAATTCTTGCCCCATCTTTTTCCAACTGTCTTAATTCCAGTCTACCTTCCAGTATTTCCAAACATATTATCACCCCACTGCCTATACAGTTATTTCAGACTCTCTAAAACAAACAAAAGATACCATGCCACATTACATATTCTTCAACTATAGTATTCTAACCAGTTATACAGCAATTTAATCAAAACATAACAGACATCAGTACATAGTACTTAGTGCTTCTAACAGTAGCCAGTACTTGACTGAAAGCATTTGTAAGGAAAGCTGCATCAACCTGACAATCATTTTCCCTTTACCAACACCATTTCTTCAGTTCCTTCAACTCACAGTGAAGACTTTCAGCTTCGTACACTAGCAAATTCATTTCTGTCAAGAGACAAGTCAAGATACTCTTTTGCCTTTCCAGCTGTTTCTACAAATGCAGAAGCCTTTAGCTGGACAGAGGTGGCAGGAACTTTTGTTGAGTTCAATAAAAGGGAGACAGTTCTGATGTCCAAGGGAGGGGTACCAGGACTGATCTGTCTGAACCAAAAAGTGTCTGGGAACATCACAACATCACAGCTGGAGAAAAGAATTACAGGCAACAGGATAGCCTCATACAGCTGGGACACGATGTGAAGGATGCTGTAATTAAACGTGATAACTGCAGCATTTAATTGCAAAGACAGTGTGAAGCTACAAAACAGAATGGTCAAGACATGATCCATGCACAGAAGAGAACCACAAATATTCCTCAACAGCCATGGCTAGATCTACAAACTGTAGATCTACAGTTCCAATAGCCACAAAAATCAATAAAATTCAAGCCTGGGTCTTCAAGGTGTTTAAAGCCTCCTATTTACATTAAACATCAATACTGTTTTACCAGGCAAAGGATATATTCCAGGGCCCCACAAGCTAACACAGTTCACAGGGACCAAGACTGTTTTGGCTAAAAAAAAAAACCCCAAAACATTAAGATAGTGCAAGCTAGTTAAGTTTTGAAACATGTTTTAATAGTCTGTATCATTGAAAGTTTTGTTAAAAAATTACCAACATGGAGTTCTGATGTTCCCTTGAAAAAGGGACTTTTTTTTTTTTAAGGTGACAAAGAATCAAAGCAGCTTTACTGTTTTTTTAGAAGCCACAGCTACTCCCCTACGTATTTTACTTGGTGTGCATCTTGAACATTGAAATCTTCCATTGTCATATACTAAGTTTAATTTTTTTTTTATTTTTTTTTTTAGTTAAAGTGTTCGGACTCTGAGTTGAGGTGGCAAGACTACGTACTTAGTGTAGTAAGACTTATCTGATCCACTGGCAAAGTTGAACAGTCTCCCTATGGTCACAGGGAAATTGGATGTCCAGAGCACCCTACGCTCATGAATTGGCTGTAAGCTAGATGTAGAGTCACAAAACTGAAGTAGTGACCAGAGAAATGGTTGACAGCAGGAATGTAGCAGTTTTTACATTCTAAATCCAAATCAGTAATTCATTTCAGCACAGTAAAATTAAATGAGCATTGCAGGTACCTTTTGAAATAGTTAGTGCTGGGGACCACTGTGATCGTAGAATATCAAGACAAATGCTGCCATTACTGTTAATATTTGGATGATAGATTCTTGTTGTAAATGCAACCTGCAGAAGAAGGAAAATTTCAGTGTAGGCTCACAAATACACATTACACCACACAGTAATGAATAGATTTATGGTACAAGCCACTCACCTTAGGTGGTTTGAAGGGATAATCTGTTGGGAAGTGAATTGTCAAGAAAAATACTCCACCTTGATAGGGACTGTCATTCTGTTAATGAAAAAGAATCATTGCAGTTTGAGGAGTTATTACAAGATGACTAGTCATGAAAAGCTATGAACATCAACTCTCTCATACTTACTGGTCCCATTATTGTAGCTTGCCAATGGAACACTGAAAAAGAGAAAGATTTACTTCAGTTTGGAGAAGCTCAAGTAATGAACTACTTTCTTCCAGACAAAGCAGCACAGAAAAGTCTATTTTAAAAACAAAGCCTTCTCAAAGGCTGCAGGGAAGCAAGCCAAAGAATTAAACAGAGACAGAGCGAAGTACTCGACACTCCACATTCACTTGGTCCACACTTTGGCATTGCTGTGGTACCACACACATGCCCTGCAAAAAATCCCATTACAATAAAAATCCAGACAGTTACTAGTCAACTTTTCAGACCCAACAAATTTGTGAGTTCAACTTTGTAGTTTCTAATGATGCACCTGAATCAAAGCCCAGTTTCCAATGACTGCCCTCTTAGAGCAAGCTACAGCAAAAGTACAGTATGAACTCCTGCTTTTCTTAGGTAGGATCTCCCCTACACAGATCCTTAGTCAAATGGAGAGTAAGCCTAAGCTTTGTACATACCATATGTAAAGAGGTAACCTAAGCCAGTGGTATCTTGACTGAATGTTTAAGCTTAGTCTCCACAGAGGTCTCAAGATGTCATTCAAGCAGCAGAAAGCAATACAAGTCTTAAGAGAATGCTAGAATGACAGTCTGCTCAATACTTAGGACCAGGATGTGCTAGTACACACTTTAGGTTAAATGGACAAAAATTAAATCTCACTTGTATGCATCTGTCCAAGAGAACATCTTAATCTGGTAATACAGAAGATTCATTAAGAACATCTTTATGCTGCAGAACATAAGGAAAACAATCAAAGCTGTTAATCTGTATGAGGCATATTAGGAAGTTCTTGGGGTTCCTGCATTCTCCAAAGGCTCTAATGCTAGCCTGTGGAAAAAGCACCAGCCTAAAACATTATTTGTGAAACAGTACCGGGGAAGTTTCCCTCTGCATGGATGTCAGCTACATCTCATCTTCAGAACTGGGGAGCAGTACAGAAGACTCCAGTTGTTGCAAGGTAAGTCTTCAAGCCACAGAAGTTGAAACCACCTGCAACTGTATACTTAACTTGCAACTGGTGTCTACAGCTTTCAAGACTACCTGGACCAAAAGTAATTTTGGCCCAGAGTGGCACTACTTGTAATTAAAAACTGCTCATGCTAGTTTAGAACATGTGGTACAGGTATTACAGCTGGGAATGATCTCATACAAGGTAAAAAAGAGTGGGAACAGCCCTGCCAAGGCAAGGGGAGAAGAGTGTTTGGTTAGAGCAGCAGGTTTGTTACAAAGGGTAACACCAACTAGCCTTTTGAGAAACTCTACATTCAGTGCAGAGTCAGGAAATCAAGACAGTGGTTCACATGTTCATATGTGGCGTTCACCCATTTTAAAAGGGTTCAGACAGCTTCACATGAAGTCCATATTGCCTGTAGCAGGACACTGAGAAACCCAGAACAAGAAGACAAAGGGGCAGCAGAAACCCAGCAGTGAAGATTGTGGCTAATCACAGAAAAACCACCAGGAATGTAACAGGCATCAGTAGATGCTGATAAGATTCACTATGACTGCACTGAATACACAGACAGCACTGGACCTTAACCTGTGTACTTCTGCACACTGAAAACAGAAGCTGATGTAACAAACTATTGTCTTACACCCAACAAGAAATCAGAAAGAAAAATGCTTTCACAGTACAAGCTAGAAGGGTGGTTTGGCTGGGTTGGGTTCCTTCCCCCTCTCCCCCCTGCCACAACTCCCACCCCAGACTCAAGGAAAGTGCTTGTTTAACCTAAGCTTTAGAGTCTCACAACACTTGGGACAAGTTTGATGAACTAAAAGATGGATTTGTCATGCAGAGCTTATTTCAACTGATTCTTTACTTTGAAGTCAGCCATTCAAAAAGTTACTTACAAAGTAAAGGGCTTGCTGACTTTCAGTAACTAAGCACAGGTACATGTTTGAAAGTGAACTAAGCCACTGCACAGCACCCTGGAAGTTACTAGTGTAATTCAGTCCCAAGCATATTCCCAAAACAAAGGCCAGAGGTGGTGGAAGAGGGCTAAAACTACTTTACCAAGAGAAAGAAAATCCTGTCCCTACAGTTAACAAGGCAGAAACAGCTCTTCGCTTCCCAAAGTTTATGAACTACAGGGATGAGAAGCTTCTAACTGGGGACAGTTTACATTGGCTGGACTAGCCACAGGATACCACTTTGCAAGCACAGCATGTCCTGATCTCTGAGACATGTCATTCTGACAAGGCAATTGAGGCAAACCTAGAGGCATCTCAGAGAAGGCACCTTTCTGTTGCTGCCACTGCTATCCACTTACATACACCCCAAGTGTTGGTCTCAATAGTGAAAGTCTTTCATTAGAGGTCTTTCAGAAAGGTGGCACAAGGAGAACAATCAAATATTACTTTAAAGCTTTCTGCATTCAGTAGTAACTTTCCATTATAAGCATTCACCAACTTATGTTACCACCTCCTCCACCAGTCAATCTCTATCACCTTTGATAGTCTTTGGAAACTATGAAGTAGTTTATCATGTCACAAATCCCATTTCTTAATTTAATGGAAGAAAAGCCTCAGACTGGCTCTACATCTTAGTAATTTCTCTTCCATGAAACTACAAGCTTCTTTGAAATACTATTTTGAAAGCAGAAATAAGGTGTGAATAACTAGAAGCTTGACACTACTGCTAAAAACCCTCAAAACCAAACACAGCTTTCACTTGTTTGAAAGCATTGCTGAACAGTAACATGTCCACTAATTTCAGTATTTTCATTCTCAGATTTCAAGTGCTTTTTTTAGTCTAGTCCTAGATTTCTGTAGGAATGTGTAAGTTTCTATACACTTCAGCACTTCTGAACAGGTCAGAAATGATTCAGAAAGATCCTGGCAGCTAATTTTTTCCTTTTAGAAAGGATACCTAAGCTTAGAGCTCTTGGCACATAGATGGAGGGTTTCCCTACGTAAATATCCCCTACTCTCATGAGCTTGGATGCTTCGCTGAACAGCACACTTGTCAGAGAGACCAGGTTGCACAGCAAGTTCAATGCATGCTGTTTAACAGGCATCCCAGTCAAAGCTTCCACATGTTCTCATGCAGCCTTTTCTACAGAGCTGCTACAAGAAAGAGTATAAACACATTGCCTCATCTCAGGCATTTTATGCATTAAATGCCAAGGCATTTAATGCATAATGCAAGTACCTGAATTTACATCAAGGCCCATGGTAAAGTTATAAAGCAAAAGGTGAATTTGCAAGTGTTCTTGTCTCATTGCAAACATCCTACTGCTCTTGCTCACCTAAGCTATAACCAAGAGTTTAATGCTGCTATAAGAAAAAAAAAGTAGTTCACCAGAAAGTGCAAGATCCTAGTTAATATGGAGAAGACTGTACAGCTTGTAAAACCACTGCAGTTTAAAGGCCTCTCAGAAAACCACCACAAAGTACAGGGCAACAATTAAGTTGCCTTATTCACAGCTAATCAAAGCAGACTGGGGAACACTACCTCCAACTTAGATAAAGAAGCATCCATATAAACACCATTAAGTCAAGTCACACAATGTATCTTGCCCTCCTCCCTAAGCAAAAATACACATACAAGGTGACAGTAGATCTTACCATAAAATGATACTAGACAAAAAAATTCAGGGTAGGACTTTAAAGACTGCTTTTTGTCTGCTTCAACACAGCGCATGGAGCTTCAGGAGGACACAGTAACAACTCCAAATGACACACCCGGTGAACAACCTTGCACAGGAAAGACGACCAGCTGATGTGTAGGTCAAAAAGACTGTCCTAGGCTATCCCTTATATGGAACCTGGCAGGGCCAACTCATTTGAGTACAGTTTTCAAAAATAACAGTACTGTGTGATTTAAAGATGCTCCACCTGCACTTCTTGTCTCATACTAAGCAGCTATGTCCATATCAAGTGACAAGTTAGTCACAACAGCAGGATTTAGACATTCTGATTTTGCTTATTGAGAAAGCCACAAGTAGTATTCCAAACTGAGTGAAATCCTACCTAAAGATTAAGAGCCAAACTTGTTTGTCAGTTCTTATACTCTGGTGTGCTCTGTAATACACTAGCACAAACCAGATTAAAGAACAAGCAATGTTTCCAGTGTTCCTGTAATTCATTTGACCACACTATTAAACTTTTTAAAAAAATCTAACATTACTTCATTATTCAAGCTTTAATTTACCAACTCGTTTTCCTTCTGTTCACATTTTAACCTCTTAGCCCCAAGGACTACATGTAACTCTCTTTAAAAAAAAAATGTTACTGTTAACTAACTCCTGTGTAAAATATAGTTAACCTTGACCTTGCTGTACTAGCACCTAGTATTTGGAGTAGATTGTTTTACTTCTACAGGACCATGTGACTACACCACATACAGTTTATATGTCAAAGAAGTTCAGAAAACTGCTTGCTGATTTGGCCACAGAGCTACTCAAGTTTACGAACTTCATGCCCTATGAGAATGCCAGAACAGTTAATTCAAAGATGTAACTCAAGATGTCCTCAGTGTACAGAGTTGCCCTATCAATAAAATGGGAGTAACACAGGTCTCCCATGATATACAAGGAAGGTATTAGGAGATACAGAAGAGCAACAAATTTAAGATTAGTACATGAAGTAGTATCTAGTACTCTAATCAAAAGAAACAGAAGGGTTCTCCTTGCTAAGGAGCTGGACGTTTCACTTCAGAAGAAAAAGGAAAAAAGTTAGAGACTGCAGGTGTTTGCCAATAGTATCATACTTACTGTCATCACCAACAGGCCCTGCTGAACACTGTGCTGGAGGATCACGTGCCAGATCATTCAACTCCTAAAAAACAGGAACAGTTTATTTCATTTAATTTCAAAACTAATCATGTTATTGCTTAAAAAGCTGTTAGGGGCACTCTGGCTACCATTCTTGCTCACGAACATAATGCTCACACTAGTGAGTTTCCTGAAACCACAAGAATGGCAACACCACAAAACTAATACTCAGGACCCCAGAAAGCAAAGTTGCATCTTAAATCCAGGTAACACATTTGGCATATGTATCAGTCACCGCTCTAGGTTTCTACACTGTATTAAGTCACAGCAATACTCATCAAGTCATAGGGTCTACCAACTTCACCTTCACTGATAATAGAACTTAAAGAGATCCCAAGCAGTACCAAGGTATTACATATTCCACTATCTCCAGGTCACAGAGAGACAAGATGGCCTCAATCCAATGACTCTCAGTATCAGTCTTATTTTATCCCCTGTATTGCAACAGCTCACAGGCTGCTCCAGCTATAGTAATCTAGTTTATAATCTCAAGCCTGCAGTATCCTTTTTGCAGTATACAAGACTTCAATAACCTATGGTTGTTTTGTCTCCAAATGTATGCATCAGTGAATATAGGTGGTTAAATGGAATAAAATGCAAGGCCTTCTGTACCTATAGAACTGCTAGCCTATGAATGGAAATCCTCACTTTTCAAGTAGCTGTGTCAGTCAAATTTTCCTCTGAAGAAATCCTATTATGAGTCTCAATTGCTCTGGCTGAACAGGTTGAGTAATTCAGAACACTTCTGACTATACCAAGTTTCCATTCGAAGCAAAGTTTCAGCCCAGATCAGAAAGATAGTCCACACATTGTCACCAGAATTACCAATTTGCTCAGGAAGTGGACATTTAGCGGGAAGTGCAAATAGAGTAAAACTTCAAAGTCAAACTTTGCCTGCTCTATTTCTGGCTCAGCCACTGACCTGCTTTGCATGATGGGCCCAAACATATTAACTTTTTTCTGTGCTAGCTCAGTCTAGAAAGCTAAACGTAAACACCAGACAACCATTATGAGGACAACTAAATCCAGCATTCAGGAAACACTCCAATGCTGCCATTGGCCCATTGTGCATTCAGCTTTTCACCTCACAGCCTGCAAGGGTTACCAGCAACAGGAATCTCAGATACCAGACTTATCTGAAGCTTTTGATAGACAAAACATTTAAGGACAATGATCAAGACAAGCTGATTGCAGGAATGGAAAAAGCTTGCCACTTAATGGCCTTTTGTTATTTACAGGCAGTATTTAAGCTCTTGAATAGATGATCTCTGGGATTTTCCAGCTTCTACTTCCCATGAACTGGGAGGCCACCACTAACCAAACCCTCTTCTCTTCTGTTGCAACACAAGAACGCTGCCTTACACCAAACAGGTTAATCTCAGGATTTTCCCCTCAGCATGCAGTCCCCCAGAAGTCTTGCAGTGGAGATACAAAGCTTCACATACCCTGACTACTTTTTTGCACACACAAGTTTGGTTTTGCTCTCAGCAGCTCCCAACTTCTTAAGAGCCCAGCTGAAAGCTCCTGACTTGACACCAGACTACTGAAGCTTTTCTAGTCCTCCTACTGAACTTCTTAAGAGTGCTGACCCATACAGACCTTGCCCCCACACTTCATGGTTCAGCACGGACTTGGACAGGCGTAGATATTAAGCATACAGCACCTGCTGAAGAGCCTACTCCCTCCTGAAGGTGGGGAGCATCTCCAGATATCCTCTGAAGGAGGAAAGCCCTTCAGTTTTGTCAGTTATGCATGTCAGTTCGGAGTAGCTAACTTCACCCAACTGAGGACTCCCTCCTTACCTCCTGGTCGCAAGTATCAGTTAGAATAAAGATCAGTAATGCATTCTCCCTCCCCACCAACACACTTCACACCACCTGCTGTACACCTCTCTGCTTTCAGAACATTAAATATGTTGAGTATCATCCCAAGCAACAAAAGAATACTGCTCCACCATAGAGAAGTGCATGTACTATAAAAGTTTTCAGTTAGTAACAGTCTGAAAAATAGAGTAGCAGACTGCACTGTGCTCTGCTTTAAAATCAGTAAGCCAAGAAACACCTTGTGCAATCAGTGCAAAGGAACATGCAGCCACTTACACACAACTTCACCAGCACCTGAAGGACCACACACCTTCTTCGTGGTCAGTTTAGTCACAGCTACAAAGAATGAAGTAAGTCTTCACGTGCACAAATTCAGAAGTACAGGCATGAAAACTTAGGAATACACTACTCTTTCTAAAGGTGGATAGAGTACAGTCCACTTCCAAATACTATTGGACCCTAATCTTCTGAAAAAGACAATTTAATGCTACAGTACTCAAAACCCCAAACACATCTATTACCAAAAAAACCCCCACATCTAAACCTCTCTTCCTTACCACTTTCTCATCCCCTTCACTCCTGTTTTATGCATAAATACGATGCAACAACACTAGACTCAGAAGGAGTAGAATTGTAAGAATCCATGTTCTCCATGTAATATCACAACCTACTATGGATTATATTTAAGAACCCAGCATGCACCTTCCCTACTATAAAGTGGAAAGAGTTACAAACACAGGCTGCAGCTTGACAACATATTCTACCACCTAGTAGAATACACAGCTCCAAAGCTGCCCCAACATTCACCCTACATCCCGCTGCTCAAAAGTGCCGCTTCAAACTCTGTGGAACAACACACCTTCAGTGATACCATGAGGTAAGTCTCACAACAGATGCAGAGGTAACAATGAAGTTCAGTTAGTAGCAGCCCTGTTTCTCATCAAAATACTATTCCTTTCTCTTCAATCTTCAGTTCCACCTAGCAGGAATACTTTGGTTTTCTGAAGCCATATACAGTATCTCACTGGAAAGAGCTGACTTACAACACTCATAACACTTGTCTCAGTGATGCAGCTCTCACCTAGGGCAGCATTTCAGGTTCTACTCTATAAATTCAGATTGAAACATCACAGATTAAAACGCCCATGTAAAAAGCAATGCATAAGCTCCTTGTGCTTGGAAAAGTTTAGCAACAACTCTCAATTCAAGCCCCAGTGTTGTGGCTTAACCCGGCAGACAGCTAAACACCATACAAACATTAGCTCACTCCCCCACAGTGGGTGGGGGAAAGAATCAGAAAAAAGGTAAAACTTGCAGGTTGAGATAAAGACAGTTTAAAAGGACAGAAAAGGAAGGGAAAATAATAATAATACTAGAATATACGAAACAAGTGCCACACAATGTGATTGCTCACCACCCACTGACCAATGCCCAGCCAGTCCCCAAGCAGTGGGCTGCCATCCCCCAGCTAACTCCCCCCAGGTTTTTTTATTGGTCAGCATGACATCATATGGTATGGAATATCCCCTCGGCCAGTTGGGGTCAGCTGTCCCCCCAGCTTCTTACGCACACCCAGCCTCCTCGCTGGCAGGACAGCACGGGAAGCTGAGAAGTCCTTGAGTTAGTGTAAGCACTGCTCAGCAACAACTAAAACATCAGTGTATTACCCACATTTTTCTCATCCTAAATCCGAAACACAGCACTATACCAGCTACTAGGAAGAAAATTAACTCTATCCCAGCCAAAACCAGGACACCCTGAGATACAAAACCTCCCGCCTTTTGTAGAACAACAGCTTGCATAACAGTGAAGAAGTTGAAACTCCACAAGACACCTCTAGAGCACAGTCACTTAGCTGCAGCAGACTACCAGTCGCCTCTGCACACCAGAGAGGGTAACGCGTTACCGGATTTCCCAGCAGGGCACAGATGATCGCTTTAACACATCATTCTCCTCAAGCTGCCAGCATGCTAGAAAGACTCCCACTACTCACTTGTCAGACCTGCAAGGCCAAGTTTAAAAACAGGAATGGTAGCTACATACAGCTGCATTTATCCAGGTACAAATGGAGAGGAGCATCCACTGCTGCAGCACAGTACCAAGCTTTTGCATCTGTCTGAGAGGTTACTTTGCCTTTTGAAGGCTCCTGTGCTGTTTCCAAGGTACTGCTAGCACAACACCAAACCTAGCAAGGTCTTTGCTTCCAGATGTTGCTGAGGGAGACTCTTGAGAACCAGCTGGTTTGTAACTCAGAACAAATGACTCTGGAGTTCACATAAAACTGGAACTCATAATACATGGAGGATTCAATTACAGTTTGGTATCATCTACAAACCAGCCACTACTGCATATATCAGATCCTAAGCTGCAAGGCCTGCTGTATTTCCCTGTGATCTGGGAAGGCTTGCTGGTCAATGATCAAGTCTGAGCTTGACAATGCTGATTTTAAACCAAAACCTGAAGAAAGCCGTAGCTGGTAATCCATTTGAGACAGTTTCCGATCCTTAAGCACATGCAGAAGGTTTTGCTTTAGGAACTTAAAAGTGAAAACTCAAGCTGCCTTTAGAGGAAATTTCCATTGTAGTTACTCAGCTCCCAGGAGGCTACCTCACCATGAACTGCCTTCTAGCTGGAAAGCCCACTTACAGAACTTTCTGCCATCTCCCCTACAGCAAAACACCCCTGGGGTTGGGCCAACTGCTGCAGATCATACCATTAACTTGACCCATCTTACAGTTAAAAGTATTAATTAGTTGCTCAGCAAAAATGAGGATGTGGAAGCATGGCACAAAGCAAAGCAAGGTTCAAGGTGTCTTGCCCAAAGGCCAAGTTGAATGAAACTACTACCATTACATCCATGAACTAGATATCCTAAAAGCTACAGAACTCACACAAGAAACTGACATTTAGGCTCCAAAAGCAGATTTAATTGTGTTCCCAAGTTCCCAACAAAACAAACACCTCCCTACTCAGGAGTTCCAGGAAAGCATTTTAAGGAAGATGGAGTGCACTGATGCCACAGATCCCCTAGCTCCGCTGCCCAAGTCATGAAAGGCATTAGCTGCCAGGGGGGCCTCAGGGCACACAGGAAAGCCAGTGCCACAAGTCCCACTCAGACCCATGCTACCCTCCTCCCGTTAGTCTACCTCCCAGCAGCTAGTACACTGCACTTAAAGTGCAT